AACTGTTAATGTAAGCCACATTAACTTGCATCTCATATTTACAAAGCTGAATAATAAAATAAGAAAAAATATATTTAACTTGCATTGCCCGCGGCTCCGCCCGCGTTCAGTTCACCAAAAACCAAATTCTTAGGTTTTACATATTAGTATACTCTTACAATGCAGTTTTTGTATTTTTTGTCAGAAATGAGACATCTTCCCGCGGTTAAAAGTATCCTATATGTTACGCCGGATAACCAGCTATCACCATATCAAATTTAATCAAAATCCCTCCAGTGGTTTTTCTGTGATGCGGTAACAGACAGACAGACAGACAAAAATTCTAAAAACTATAGATTCTGCCTATGTATCGATAATAATGTTTATTTCAATAAGATTTTCCAAAAAATATTTAATGTACAGATTTGGCTTCGGTACAATTTTATTATATGTATAGATGTAAAGTTAAACTCTAAATGTTATTTACATTGTACTCGTGACTGTATTCGCATAGTAACTGATAAAAAAAATCTACGTAACTCTTTAGCTTTCTGTTAATGGATGAATTTTTAGAATCCTTTCAATACTTACTAAACAATTTCTAATCCATGCTTTATTATTTTATTTATTTTGAGGAGTTATTCTGCTCATCATGTCAAATATTGTTATCAGATCTTCATCAATTTTTTATGACACAAACTTAAAATACCTTTCAAATAAAAAAAGAACCATAGAAATTGGATCTCATAATGCAGAGATATCCAGTAACCCCCTTTTTGCCCCTTTTTGAAGAAAATATCCCTCCAATCAAATATCACTGACGACAAAAAATCTATAAAGTTGAAAAATAAGAAGTTAAAATACGACCGTAGAGGAGTACCAACAAACTGACAGAGGAAGGCAAATTTTGCCAAAAATCTCGATCAATTATAAATGCGAAAGTAACCCTGTCTGTATATCTGTTACGTTTTCACGCCTAAACTGCGGAACCAATCTTGATGGGGTTTTTTTTCACGAAAGTGAAACCTGGAAGGCTGAAATAGGATTATACCCCCCCAACGTGCGTTCACCTTGTCGTGGTGGGGGGGATTAGTAGTGCCCGGCAACCCAACCGGGCGCGAAGCCAAGAAACGCACAGGGAGGTGGCCCACTTTGGTGGGCGGTGGGAGGTGGCCCTCTTCGGAGGGCAGTGTACCATGCGGGTTGCTCCTGGTACTTCTCTGATAGCAGAGTGGACTGTGGAGCAACCCCGTGGTTGTTGTGGTCTGCTTCGGCAGACCTGCCGTCGGGGCGTCGTAGTTGAATGCGTAAGCGATCCTGCGACGCCCCATTAAGACGGGGGAAGGTTTTGTTGGGTTTTAGTGGGTAGTACTGGCTTTGCCGGTGAGTCCCACACCTCGTGCATAAATGCATTTCCCAACGTTAAAAAAAAAAAAGGATTATACCCCATAAAAATTATGGGGAACCGACTACCTCTAAGTACACTCACGATAAGTATTCATTTGTACGAACAAGTCTTTTTATAAGTGCCGACTGTACTGGAAGTCACATGTTTGTTATTCGCACGGGACAAATGTTTTTATTAAACGTCCAGAACTACTATAGAGCATTATTGCGTCATTGGGAACAGCTACGAAACTCGTAACGTAATGAACTTTGTAATTAGTTATAATTTAACTAATTACCGACTTCCGAAAATGAGTAGAATTGCTCAGCCGGTATTTTTATAGGCATTACACATATATTACTGAGGAATAAATATTTACATTAAAGGAGAATCGAACTCACTCCATATTTGGTAGTTACTAACAAATTAAGACCAAAGTTTTAGATCAAATTAGGTCATGTTTTAATCTATATATAAAGTATAATATAATCAACTCATACCTTACCAGTAACAACGTTACGCTAATCGCAAAATCAAGGCGTACTCTATTAAACTTGACTTGATGGAAACGCGTCAATATTATTAAGTTGGTTTTCAGCGTATATTTTGATTAATTTATAACAACCCACCTAAATACGTGTTATAGTGGAGTGAAATATGTGTGAGTAGAACTGCCAACTATAAAAGAGATCGCAGGTTCAAAAAGCATTAATAAAACTTACTCTGTTTTTAAGTTTGCGTAGTATACTGTATTCCTACAGTAATTGAGTTGTGGTTTCCAATTTAAATTAACTGGACCAAAGTTGATATCTATATGATTAATACAATTTTTTTGAGAATGGGAATTGAATAGACGATCTCTGTAGTAGTAAAAAGATAAGCTTCAATACTACTTTTTAATTAATCATAATGGGTTCTAGTCGTAGTAGATATGCCCTTAAAAAAGCATTCGCTTGAAAATCAAGTGAAACGGGTTCAAACCCACAATTTGTAATATTTTAGTTCTAATATCGTTTCTAAAATAAGGAAAGCATAAGAGGAAATCTGGCTGCCATAAAGAACCCACAGCCTGTCATTAGAGGTAGGTACTTATGCTGGTAGGTGGTAGGTAGGTAGGTAGGTGCTAAGAAAGATTTGTGTAGGATTTAGGGCATTACGAAACAAACTAACCAATCAGACTCGTAAGAGTTAAGTATGAAAACAAATCTTTATGTTCAAATGTATAATATTAGTCTGGATATGGATAAGTAAAATATGAGATATTCTAAAATACAAAAAAGAATTTGTACGAATATTTTACCTTACTTGATGGAATATGTAACATATTGGATGAAAGTATTATTACAATGTTACAGATGTGTAGTGTTGAAATGAAGTAGACATAAAATAGTTATTTTTGTAATAACGATATTTGTATAAAATAGTATAAAAGTTTTAATAATATCTCAGGTTTAATGTTTTAAATAAGAAAATTATAATGCGAAATAAATTTTATATCTACAACTAAGTGACGACACGTTTGGCTCAGTTTGTAGTGACCCCACTTGCTGTGCTAGAGTTCGCGGGTTAGAGTCCCGCTGGGGGAATTCATTTGTGTAATGAGCACGAATGTTTGTACTCCAGTCATGGGTGTTTATATTTATAATATCTATGTATTTAATTTTAGAAAAATTTAGATATTATTAAAGTTATTATTAACATAAGGAAGCAAAGAAATAATCTTCAATAAACTGAAAAAAAAATACTTATATCATTACAACTTGACTGCAAAAATGGTTTCAATTGAAACTTAAGAGCTTGTTCTTCTGTTTACTAGATTAATGTTTTAAATTGGTAGGATTAATGACTGAAGCATTCAACATTTTAATTATTGTGGTATTTAGACGCTATATCGTCTTACATTCGTTAATTTTCATATCTCCGAATGCGTTGAATTAAAACAAATTGTCTTAATAATAATTGTTAACTGTCATGTTGACGAGCTCGTGATAAAATGTAGATTATTTTTAATCAAGTATACATATTATGCTTAAAAGATATTGTTATGATGTAAGCTGAGATAATGATATCTATACAAATAAATAAAATTAAAGTGTCTGTATGTAAAGTCGAAATAACAGATTTTTACTAAATGCATATAAAATTATATATGGTACTCGTAAGAAAAAAGAATTTAAAATTTTAGTCTGTCTGTTTGTTTGTTCCAGCTAATCCCCGAAACGGCTGGGCCAATTTTGACGGGACTTTCACCAGCAGAGAGCTTATGTTATAAGGAGAAGCTTAGAGTACTTTTATTTAAAAAAATAATCAGGGTTCCGCGCAAAAAAACTCATGAAATTGTGAACAAAATCATTCCTTCCTATGCACGACACCCGAGCGAAGCGAGAGTGAGTCCCTAAATTTATCTGAAACAATTAGCTAACTACAAAATTACTAAAAGTGTAAAAATTTTGACACTTGGAAGTAGAATTTATTCTTAAAATCAATATAGTGTCAGTTTTGAGGTCTAAATTGTTACAATAATCATGACAGTCAATTAACGCGTAAAGATGAAAATAATTAAATTCACGAAAAAATCCCAAAAGATAGTTTTATTTAAAATGTCAAATATTCGCGTAAATCTAAGAAAGTATTATATGGAAAAAAACAAAAGTATACAATCGAACTGGCTACTATTTTATACTATTGCCATCGATTTTTGATCTCGGTCAATTACTCATCAATAAATAGAACAGCAAATAATATTTTCAATTGTATTTTAAATATACATACGTTTCGTATCAATAAGTATTGAGAAATGCGCTTGACACCATAAGCTATGGGATCAATTATTATCGGTATTTATTTGTTATTTGCTACGACAATTTGACGACACGTTTGGCTCAGTTTGTAGTGACCCTACTTGCTGTGCCAGCGGTCGCGGGTTCGAGTTCCACTGCATTATATATGTGTAATGTATGAACTATCTCGTATCCATAACTCAGCCTTGAGTGTACCATGGAACTAAATAATGCTGTGTTAATATCCCGACATGAAATAAAATAAGTTTATTGTAGTTGTATACTTTTGCCATCCAACTGAAGCCATTTTTGTTTTTGCTTTTCATTAATACTACTACACTGAATGTCTTAAAAGATATATAAAGATCTGGTAACTTAAAATTTGACTTACGCACTGAGGGTTCCGTAGCATGAAACATAATTTATATTATGTTTTAGCATAGATAATTTGTTAAACTTAAATACAAATAAAATATTTATATGTACGATATTCATTTTAACAACTGCAAAAATAAATTATATTTCTATCAAACAGTTGTTTTTACTCTATGTATTTTATTAACATTTATATGAAAAACAATGTTATTAAACTTGCTGCATTTTTCGAGTGATCTACTTTAAAATAATTTTCGTTAAAATTATTTTGTAAGCTCCTATTAAAAAAAATACTGCCCCATCCATACCTACTTCAAAAATTACAGAACTTGCATTTTGTCTACGGAACCATAAAATACGTTATTAAATGTTAATATATCAACAAGAACAAGGATTTATAAGAAAAAATCTAGTCTATTTGCAAATCCATATTAATTTATTATATTATGAGTACATATTAAATGTAAATGTTTGCTTACCTCTTATATCATGATCTTTATCTCCGCCATATCTCACGAAAATAAAGTATAAAACCATGAGAATAAGCTGAAAAATCAGCAGCGGTACATATTTCATTCTGGTGAACTTCAACATGTTTGCTTCTGAAACCTGTAAACAAAAATATAGTGGTATTTTGAAAGAGAAAATTGTACTTTTCGGTAAATTACGGCTGAGTCTCAATAAAAAAAAATTCTAGACACAATAATGGCAGGAAATTTTGTTTTATATCTTTTAATATACATATATATGTAACATATATTTTTAATAATAAAACTATATATTCTTATTACACATTCGAAACGTCAGTAACGAAAAATCAATAGAAGTCCGCGAAAAAATCCGAAAAGATAGTTTTTTTTAAATGTTAAATATTCGCTTAAATCTAAGAAAGTATTATTCAAAATTAAAATTCACGCTTTACTCGCTTTTGTAGAAATGACAGAAGTTAAGCACCTATCGTTATATTTAAATGTTCGTTTTAGTTTTTCCATTATGTAGACTCCAAGAAAATATGACATGATAAACCAACAGACATACGGCATCCAATAAATTGCTAAAATTCGAGTATAATTAAAAATATATAATCACTTCACATTTATTATTACATTAATACAACACTTCAGCTATCTTCATTCCAAATTCACTCAAATCTATATTATAAAGAGGTAAAGATTGTAAGTTTGTGAGTTTGTTAGTAGATAGTATTATCTAGAACTACTGAACCGATTTAGATAAAAATTGGTAAGAACATAGTTTGAGACCCTGAGAATGACATAAGATCGCGAGGTTTTGAGCTTTATCCCGGTAATCATCCCATAAAAGGATGAAAATGGGGATGAAAATTTGTATGGAGAATTAACTTAAGGACGAACCCGACCGAAGCGAGGATGAGCCGCTAGTAAATTATAAAGAAGTAGAAAACACTCAAAAATTTTCGCATTTATAACTTTATCGTTACTATCAAAAACTTCAAATAAAGTCAACAATATAACACACCCTTTACATTTTGATACAAACCAATCAACAGATTCGATTGACATCCAGCTTATTCGTCTTTTTTCTCCAAAAAATATCGAGTATTGCCATTCGAATACTTATAATTAAACACTACAATATTTGAATATATATTTCTTCATTTTTTGAGAAAATAGGCAGTGGTAGCCCAATGATAACGTGGTCGCTTAGAAATCCGAGTGATACCTCTAATATTTTCATGTGTGAATCATTTACAACATGATTACCACTAATCTTACGGTGGAGGAAAATATCGTGAGGAAACCTGCATGTCTGAGAGAGCCTAGCAAATTTTAGAAAGACATTTGAAGTCCGCCAACCCGCACTTGCTATCAGGCCATAGTCCACTGCTGATCCCTCTTGCATTAAAGAGAGGCCCGTGCCCAGCAGTGGGATGTTAAAAAAAGGTTTTCAGTAATGATTATGATCAAATTTTGACCACTGGGCGGACACTAGTTATATTAAAAGCGTGTCTTCATTACAAAGAATATGCGTGATATTTTTTTTTAATATAACAGCAAGCATCGTTGTATAATCGCAAAAAAATATCCAGCTCTAAGAACCTAAAATTTAGTACATTTTTTTTAAATATCATACTAATATGGATACTTTAAACACCCGCCATTTCGCGCACTTGGCGTGACGCCACAGTACGATATACTCAGAAAAATGACGACTCAATTTCTAGCCACAAAATCGCTAATCGCTCATATTCGGTCTGACCAATGGCGTTCCTTTCAACTACTTTGAATTTTCCACCTATTTTTGCATTTCTTAATAATTATTTTCTTAATCAAAAAGGAATTACATAAAAAATATTAATATTGGCTTAATTCAAACAATAAAGATTAAAAAAACATTTTTCACTTTTATTTAAATCACACGCATATTCCTTACCTTAGCTTAACAAAAACCGGCGTATATCCACACTTCCGTACTAATATTATAAATGTGAAAGTGTGTTTGTTTGTTTTTCCTTTACGCCGAAACAGCTTGGCGGATTGGCGTGATTTTTGTATGGAGGTAGATAGAGAGTTCGAGAGTGACATAGGCTACTTTTTACCGCGGGAGATTATCTATCCCACGGGAAAACACTTTATAATACAATCAAAAAATTTTTTATGAGCAGAATTACTTGAAACTTAATATAAATACTCTTCAATACAATTAATTAAATACGTGTTTTAGTATTTTTCGAAATTCATCTCATAAGTGGGTAAAATAGCGCATGAAAGTTTGTATGAACCCTACCATTTTAGAGTTTTTTTTATAGTTTTAGCACGAGCAAAGCCGCGGTTTGTACTAGTAATATATAATTTCGTTAATTACGATTCAATGGCAAGGTATGGCTCAGAGGGAAGTGCGTACAAAAAATTAAGTTCTGATAGTCGCCTATTTATCACAAGACTTAGTGACACGACCCGAGCCGCTAATTAGGTGAGAAATTTCCTTTAATCAATTCTATTCGACAAATGAAAATCTCGACTATGAAGTAAGTTGGGAATGATCTATGAATTCCTGTTTAATATTTTAATCCTACTAAATCATACTAATATTATAAATATGAAAGTTTGTGAGAATTAATGTTTGTTACTCTTTCACGCCAGAACGGTTGAACGAATCTGGATGAAATTTGGCACTAAGATAGATTATAGTCTGGAACAGCACAAAGGTTACTTTTTTACTGGGAGTTTCCGTTGGGATTCCCGTGGGATAGATTTGTTTTTATCTAGGAACGAACCCCAATCGAAGCGAGAGAGAGTCGCTAGTCGCTAGAAATAAAGATTTTACTGGATAATTAGACGATAATTCTGATGATTTTTAAAAATAATTTTGCACATTAATTAAAATACCCTAGTTTATATTCTTGGCTGTGCAATAAAATCCAATAATGTTATATTGATATCAATACAATACAGCACAGTGAGCAAAAATTGCTAATAAATATATGACACTTTAAATATATTTGCGTCTTCATGTTTATTAGCTCGCAAAACATGTAGGCAATATTTTACTGAACCTTCTCTATATTTTTCTACATATCAATTCGGAAAGTAGATTCAAAGATAAAGTTGCAATTTCCTATATTATGAGGTCTTTCCCTTATTAGAGTTTATGTTTGCGAGTGAAATGAAAATACTTACACGTTCAAAGTTGGTACCAAGCAAGAAATGATAATAACGTTCTAAAGTAATATGTAAAGTAACACTATGTTTTAACTAAAGAATTCTGCTTGGGGATTTTGTAAGTAAGAATTCTGTATAGAAATGAGCAAAAAATTTGGTATTTTGCAAACAAAAGCATGACAGAATACAAGATTTCTAGATGCCTTCAGCTTAGCTGTCTGGAGATTTATTGTTTGTGAAATTTTAAACAGTAAATTTTTGTTTGAAACAAAGATGTTTGGTAAAAGCGGTATTTACCTTTGAATGTATAAAAATAAAGAAGTCACGTCTGATATTTTATTTGCAAAATAACAAACTCAAACTGTTGCTTTTTTGTACAAGAATAGTACAGTACAGTATTTTTAACAGCTTAAAGTTACATAAACTATATACACATCGTATTTGAACTATTCAATTTTTATTATATAGGGCATTTATAGGGCAAACACATATTCCATACGTTTTACTTATTTTTAAACAGGAAAATTTTCACAGTATCACTATCAGAATTTTTGGTAATCGAACACCTAATGGCAAAGGCCAAATGGTTATCTGGCCCGCAACCAAAATAAAATGAAGCCAAAACAGCAAAAATTAATAAAAAAACAAGTAGCACTAACTATGCTTATTAGGTTATTTTTAACTAAACTTTGCATCGTGAAAAGTCGGCAAATCCTTTGAAAATTGGTTAACCTTAGTTATTAATTCACCGATCGTCGATTTAAACTGACTTTAGTTCTAAATGGAGATTGGTCGGTCATTACGCAATTTACTGCACGCGGACGTGAAAATCTTATATTTGGTGTATGATTACTGTTATGTGAATATTTCAAGTTGTTTATTTTTTTACCAACTTCCAAAAAGGAAGAGGTTGTATGGCTAATATGAAATGAAAAAAACTTTATTTAATTAGACTTGTTACAAGCACTTTTGAGTCGTTAATTTTATTTAAGTTTCAGTGTAGTCAGCCCGTGTGGAAGCTACCACCGGTTAAAAAAGTTCTGCTGAGAAGAGCCGGCCAGAAAATCAAGAGTTGCTCTTTTCAACCGACTTCCTCAAAAAGGAGGAGGTTCTTAATTCGGCTGTATTTTTTTTTTATTTTTTTTTATGTTCGTTACCTCAGAACTCTGTCATTTATTAACCGATTTGGACAATTTTTGTTTTGTTTGAAAGTGTATACTTCCAGATTGGTCCCATTTAAATTTCAAAAAAAAAATAACACCCCTAAGGGTGGAAAAATAGCTAATGATGAATTTAACCTACTTCTATTTGTCATATTGATTTGAAACATTGCAAGTATTTCTGTTTCCGTTGATAGTACAGTGGTTCGGTATTGTTGACCTGATCTGATGGGAAAGCCAGAAGATGGATAGGTGGAACTTTTCAATGGCTAATAGTAGATACGTTGAGTTTGGGCTTATATTGTTTGATTTTGTAGAGAGTACTAGAGAGATAAAGTTTGTGAGTTTGTGACGTTGTAGGGGACGTATCTCTGGATTTACTGAGCCAATTTAGTTGATATTTGGTAAGAAGATAGTTTGAGATTCTAGAAAGGACATAGGATAGTTTTTATCTAGGAATTCTTTAATCGGGTGAAAATGGCGATGAAATTTTGTATGGGGAAGCAACCTCGCTAGTTAATAATATACAAACTTTGAAACAACTAGACGAATTTAAATAAAATTTTGTACATACATGGACTATGATACAGGCTACTGTTAAGTTTGGGAATGTAGCGAGTGAATTAAGAGTAAGTGCTAGTTGAATGTATACATATAATAAAACTGTAGAGGTCGAATGTATGTACATTGAAAAAAAATACTAAAAATCTAGTCAAGGGGATGTAAGGAGAGAAATAGAACAAATCCAGTTTTTTTTCAATTTTTTTGTTTCTCTGTCCGTTTGTCTGTTTGTTTATTTGTACAGGCTAATCTCCAAAACTGTTGGACCGATTTAAATGAAATTTTGCATGGTGGTATCTTATATCCCAATATATATTTAATATTTTAAATACTTTCTATCCCGGAAAATTAAAGAGTTCCCGTGGAATAGTTAAAAAACTATTGTAACTTATACATCTTATTACATAAAAACTACTGATTTGATTTTAATGAAACTTTACAATAATATAGTTCCTACATCAAAATAATAAATAGACTACTTTTAACCCGGAAAAAAGTGCGGTTCCTGTGGGATAGATTTGTTTTTGTTTGCCTAGAGCGAGGATGAGCCGCTAGTTAATGATATAAACAATTAGCAAAGTAAATAAATAATTAAGTAGTCGTTGGTGACCGTGGTCGTAGACGCGGTCACTTTGTAAGTGTATGGGGTAAGGGCTTATATTATGGAATAAGGGTGGCTGTGGTTCCCTAGTTAAATATAAACAGACGGACCATAAATCTAGTTAACTAGATTACAGCGAGATATTACAATGGCAGAGTTGAATTAAATTTTTACTTCTTTCTACTGAATAAGATGAAATGGAGTTTCACTTTAAACTGTGAAGGATGACAGTGTAATTAACTTTTATTCTGATTATATCTTTTTTAAATGATGTTTATTGAAATTATCATTATTATAATTATTATTGAAATTAAATTAAAAGCAGTTTAAAAGATTTATAAAATTACATTTTAAAAATCTAAATAATCTCACTCCTTATCATACTATAGCATATAGCCTAAGCTACAATTTGGAATGCTAAACGAATTATGATGCAACTCTAAATGTTATGTTTTGTTTAAATTAGAATAATATTTCTCAAAAAAGTATATTTAAATGATTTTATCAGCTACATTTTATGAGCAAATCCACAAATATTTGCATAAATATGTTATCATAATTTCCATGCAATTTGAGATACAAATCACATAAACAGAAAGAACAATGGGATTCCTTAGATTGCTTTACAGTTTTTGATAAGTGATTTGTGGCTGCAAAGAACAAAGAATTTGTCATGACCAAGTACACTTGTGCCATTCAGATATATCCCAGTCCCAGTATAGTCCTACCACGCCTATAATCTATGATTTATTACACATTAATAGTTTAACAAATAGGGGTCTTTGAAATAATTTAAGCATGTTAATATATTTTTATACTGTACATTATTATTTTAAAGTGTAATAGGCATTTTCATAGCAAATTTGTTTTCCTTATATGATTATTTTTTCCATAATTTGTTTTTTTATATGAAAGTAAAATATTAAGAGTACCAAAACTTATATTTTGTCTAAATAACAATAAATGTAGTTTTTTTTGTATATAATGAGTCGAATCTGTAAATTAAATATTTTTTGGAAAATCTTATTGAAATAGTCATTATTATCGATCGATACAGAGGCCGAATATATAGTTTTTAGAATTTTTGTCTGTCTGTCTGTCTGCCTGGGAACACATTACGAGAAAACCACTGGACAGATTTGAATGAAATTTGGTATGGCGTTAGCTGGTTATCCAGGTCAAGATATTATCAACACATACATAATATGTACTTTTTACTGCTGGAAAATATCTCATCTCTGAGAAATCTATACTTACAGTCAAAACGTAGTTGCTTTATATATTTTGAAGTTTAAATAGTATTAAAGATATAGACTTCACAGAAATTTCATCATAAGACTGCATATTGAAAATTCTGAATAGCTAAAAATATGACTGATGCGTCCGTCATATTTAAATGATAAATCGCAGACGTGATAAGATTTTAGCATGGTACGAATATGTTCAATATAATTGATTTCAATTCAAAAAACGCTTAGAAATGGATTTTCTTCTCTTACTTATATAAGGAGAATAACAAAAACAAATTTACCCCTCGGGAATATTTTTCCGGGATAAAAAGTGTTTTATTCCAGAATATAATCTATATCTGTGGCAAATTTCATCCCGATCCGTTAAGCCGTTCTAACGTTAAAGAGTAACAAACATTCATACATACTCACGAACTTTCACATTTATAATATTTATTATATACTATCAGAACCCGCAGCTTCGCTCGCGCTAAAACTACAAAAAACTCTAAAAAGGTAGGTTTCATACAAACTTTCATCCCCTATTTTACCCCCTTATGAGATAAATTTTGAAAATTGCTGAAACACATATCTATGTAATTATAATTGTATTGAAGAGCATTAATACCAAGTTTCAAGTAATTCTGAAAATAAATATTTTTTGGGTTGTATTATAACGTGTTATTATTCCGTAGGAATGAGATAATCTTCAGCGATAAAAAGTAGCCTGTGTTACTCTCGAGCTCTCCAACTATCTTTGTACAAAAAATTACACCAATCTGTTACTCTGTTTCGACGTGAAAGAAGGATAAACAAACATACTTTCACATTTATGATATTAGGTATGGATTATTATATACAAACTACTCTTAAATAAAAAAAAACATTAAAATCCATTTCATTTTTATCACTATTATCTCTTATCATACATACAAAAAATCATATACACGAATAAAATGACCGTTTTAAAGACAATTATAATAATATATCATCATAACTTTTACCTACAATGTCTTAAAAGTTATATAAATATGCCTTAAATTAGAGTTTTCGACCATAATTATTACCTAATTAAATTTGAGCAAAATTTATATGTATGATTTATATGTATTATATATAAAAAATTGTTTCTAATTTTTTTATCGATAACACTAAATCTCATCAATAGCTACTAAATAAAAAAACATCGGTTGACAAACAGAGGTTAAATAGTAGCACTGTACTGTTTTGTCTTTGCCTTATTCTATACATGTAATAAAATTGTAACTGAGTCAAATCTGTACATTAAATACTTTTTGGAAAATCTTACTCAAATAGTCATTATTATCGATACAGAGACCGTATTTATAGTTTTTAGAATTTTAGTCTGTCTTCCTGTCTGCTTGTATGTCTGAGAAGGTATCACGAAAAAATTACTTGACAGATTTTGATAACATTTGGTATGAAGATAGCTGGTCATTCGGGTCAACATATAGGATACTTTTTACTGCAGTAAAATATTTCATTTTTGAGTTTGTACTAAACGTCAAAGCGTAACTAGTCCTCCAGTCCTACTACTCCCTTATTATACATATATAGTACCAGTTATTTAATTTTCAAACACATGTGGGACAGTAAAAATAAATAAGAGGAACATAAATACGTCGTTAGAAACGTACATTTAAAATATTTTATTTTCATTCACGTGAAAAATAGTGTTTCATTTATTAGATACCTTTTTATTTGGACTTATATCAACGCTTGTTATTCTTTAGAGCTGAAACGACTCAACGAGATTTGGTTAAAAAGTACACAATTAGACTATAACATAGAATAACACCCAGGCTACTGTTAGTTACATAGGGACAAAATCTAGAATCATTTAGGTACTTAATCTAGCATACATGTCACTTATTACGTATTGAATCACATTAAAATTTATATTGAATTAGATTTGTTTCATAAGAAAATAGTTTTTTCTCTTTTACAATAAAGGAACAGATTTATTTTACTGCAGGAAATAGACTGAATTGATCGGAAGTCTAACATGCCATTCTCGGTACGCATGTTATTCATCAATCAAAACATTTCTCAATTTTAGATTTTCTATTGCATTCGTTTAAAATGTTTATATTACAAATTGTAGATACACTTTTTAACAAATTTCAAATTTCAGATTGTTTTAGAAATTGTTATTTTAGCAACAGAATCAGTTTGAACTATCAATAATAATATATACTTGCTGCTATTTGTTTATTTACTTTACTGTAAGCATATTTTGAAAAAAAAAACGCAGAAGGACCGACTTCAAATTTATTATAAAATATTGAATAATTTAAAAGTTTATTTAAAAAAATAGTATTTATCTAATACTTTTACTTATCGTTATAATATTTAAAAAATAATAATAGTGTAAATACCTTATAGGTAGAGTAGGTAGCCTACGATCCACACTTGTGCGCTAACTGAGAACCGTCAGTCGTCATACTTCGCACGCGTCCATCAAAGCTAATTCGTTTCAGTTGTATGATGTATCAGGCAATTAAAAAAACGTCTAAAAATAGTTTTAATAACAGTTCATATATTAATAGAAACTTAACTATATACAATATAGAGTTTCTTTAATATGTTGCTAAATAGATTTTAGTAAAACGTCATAAAAATTTTTACAATACTTTTTTATAAATCCACACACACATAATGTACTGTATTATTTCCGTATTAATAATATAAATGTGACACTTTGTGAGTATGTATGGATGTTTGTTACTCTTTCACGCCAGAACGGCTGAACGGATCTGGATGAAATTTGGCACAGAGATAGATTATAGTCTGGAATAACCGGAAAATCCGGAAAATATAAGGTTCCCGTGGGATAGGTTTGTTTTTGGTTTCCCAGAGGTGAACCCGAGCGAAGCGAAGGCGAGCCGCTAGTTATGTATAAATTAAAACAAGAATTAGTTACAATTTATAAAATATTTCTAATATTTTTTATTATAAAACACTGAATATTATGTAATATGCATACTTTCTTTAATCTTCTAAAGAAATCCATCACTCACATGCTGCACTCTACATAATATTTTTCAGTATGCTATTAATAATAATTTAACCGAAGAACGTTAATATAAAACAAAATTTAAATTTAATAATAATTTTAAATTTAGAACATGTATACTAAGTTATACTATAATAGCTTTATCAAGAAAAGCTCGTACCATAATAATACCAATAGAATTACAAATATCTATAAAAAAATCGAACAGTAGCACACAGTGCAGATCGTGACAGGCCATCAATATCCTATATGTATTGTAACATCGAACGTGCGATGCATTGAGCGATATTTGAGAGTAACATGTTGAAAGACAGTGCGTATAAAAGTATTTTTTTTATTATATTATTTTTTATTTAGTGTATTATTACATAAAATATATTTATCTATACTAATATTATAAAGAGGTAAAGTTTGTGAGTTTGTGACGTTGTAGGGGGTAATCTCCGGATCTACTGAACCGATTTAGATAAAATTTAGTAAGAAGATAGTTTGGAACCCTGGAAAGGACATAAGATACTTTTTACCCCGGAAATCATCCCTTAAGGGGATGAAAATGGGGATGAAAGTTTATATTGGGAAGCAAGCTAGGGACGAACCCTAGCGATGCGAGGGTAAGTCGCTAGTGTATAATATTGTTCTCCCAGTGATTGAAATTAAATCATATTTATTATTGAAAATTTGAGGAAAAATTTTATAGTAGAAATTTACCTACATATATATACCTAGGTATATAAAAAATAACTGTTTCAAAAATATTTTTATGAATAACATTAAAGCTCGCCAATTATTTATAATTAATAAAAAAATTGCTTAACAAACAGAGGAAACTGAGGACAAAAAGGTACTGAACATTTCTGTCTTTACCTGTTTATATTATATAGATTCTAAATACTTTGCTCAAGATTGCACATATTATACCTTAACTTAGTTATTAGGAACCCTGAAGATATTAAAAATTTGAAGTATACAAAAATGTAATATACACAAATACGTATATTTTGTACTAAATAAAATATTAGATAATTGGCGAATAATGTGTTTTTAGACATTTTTAAATTGTCTGGTTTGCAAATTAGCTGCAACATAATCGTCCTTGTATGACCCTATACCTAGTGATATATAAGTGCCAAGCAGTTCAATGTGGCCGTCAATTATCTTCTTATTAGAAGGGCCCTTGCATTTGAATTTTTATAACTTAGCTTATAATTTTGTTTTTTTAAGTAAGATTTTATTTTTTGGGACTTGAAAAATGTACATGTTATAAAGAAATGAAATTAAAAAAAACTGATTTAGGAGAGAAGTACATTTTGAGAACTTACTATGAACTCTTAGACCTGTATTTTTCCTGTCGCTGTTTTCCTTCACCGTATAAGCAACTGGTTAGCGCGTTAAAAATAATTAGCATATGAAAATATCGTGAAAGAATCTTTAAGTCCACAATTAGTATGATATTTTTATTTAAATTGTCAAGCATAAAAATAAAACCTAGATTTTTAGCGCTAATTTTAACCTACTAAAACCCCAACGATACCTTTCCCGTTTTGATAGAGTAACGGTTTCTACAACTGACTTGCCAAGACAGACTACAAAAGCCAAGGGGTTGCTCCTACAGTCATCTCTGCTAACAGAATTACCAGGAGCAATCCGCATGATACACCACCCACCAAGGTATGCCTGCTCTCATTGTGTTTTCTGACTTCACATCCAGCTGGATTGCCGGAAGCTAAGGAGGATAATTGGGATAATGCGTCCTTAATTAATACGGTAATATAGTCTTTATAACAATCCTTTTTTGCGTCGAGTCTTAAAAATCATTTATTGCTGCTATTAGAATAACAAAAGGTAAATATTTGACATACACATATACCGATAATAAAAATGAGAGAAGATATTGCGCGCAAAATAACCATCCATCATCTATTTTCAGTTAAATTATACTTAGAATAACTAAGGATTTATGATATACTAGCAGAACCCACGGCTTCGCTCGCGCTGAAACTACAAAAAATATCTAAAAAGGTAGTATTATACAAACTTTCATCCCCTATTTTACCCCCTTATAGAATTTCGAAAAATACTGAAACACATATTTATTTAATTATATTGAAGAACATTAATACCAAGTTTCAAGTAATTCTGATCATAAAAATTTTTTTTTGGGTTGTATTATAACGTGTTTTCCCGTGGAAATTAGATAATCTCCCGCGATAAAATGTAACCTATATCACTCTACAGTCCTCCAACTATCTTCACACAAAAAATCACGCCAATCCGTCTCTCCCTTTCGACGTTAAAGAAGGACAAACAAACAATCAAACAACAACACACTTTCACATTTGTAATATTAGTATGGATGTACCTACATGTATAGTGTATATATAAATAATGATTTCTTTGAACATCCAAAATTTATTGATTGATGATAATAACAAATGAATGACTTATAGTCTATATCAATAATTGATTGATATTTATTTTGCTCTCACTTTCATCTTAATTTTCTAGTAACCTATATCTGTATGTCAAAAGTTTATGTCATAACTGATTTACCAACCAGATAGTTTATTCCTACTAAGACATAACATTATGGTAAAAGTAATGCTATTTTTATAAGTATTCTGTGAACCAAAATACCACTTTAGCGTACATAATATGGGATATTAAAATATTAACTAGCAATTATATAACTAATAGCTTTACTTTTAACTCAAATCGATTTTAACTTACATCTCATTGTTGTATCGATTTTAGACTTTGTAAGGCAGTGAAATTGATAATGATGATAATTTGATAACATCCAACTTCTCGAGCTGATCTGATTTATTATCAAATCAACAATGACATCGATAGTGAAATTCTTCAATGGTTATCTAACTATAATATATATAAAGGCAAAAGTGATTGACTGAGGTGTATCTACGCACATGCCAAACCCTTAAGACTAGAAAATTGAAATTTCGCACACGTTCCACATATGACGAAGTCATCCACTGAGGAAAGATTTTGAAAATTCAATCCCCAAGGGGGTGAAATCGGGGATAAGGGTTTGTATGAATCGAGTACGGCAAAAATAATGAGTTACGTATTTCAGCTTTGTAAAATTCAACCCCTAAGAGGGTAAAATAGGGGATGAAAATTTTTAGAAACCCACTTAGAGTTTTTCTGCTAGTTACTAATAAAATCAAATGGCACATTTGATTTATTTTGACTCGAACATATTATTTAATAAAGGCTAATATTTTATAGGTAGTTTTTAGATATGATATTTTTCTTCATTTAAATATAATTTTTCGATAAATAATTTACTAAGATTTCATATGGTAAACTATTACATATTTAAACAAAATCGGTACAGCATCGCATCGTATAATAACTTCGTGAGCTAGTAATTGACACTCTTATTCCTATATTCCGTATGTTATGTAATTATTTGTTCCATAACGCACGTCATACACAAACAGATAAAAAGGTGTGTTCTTAATGTTTATTTTGATGGTTTAAAGAGATAAAGAAAAATGTTATTTCATGAAGTTTTAGATTATATGAGCTTAGGCGAGATAACAATCTGCATTCGCAATCGCTAATAGGAAACGCAAATACGATATAAATACGTGTTATTTTGCGTAGTAAGAAAATATAATTCGTATAATAAACTTATTGACAGACCAATTTCCACTGACGTTTTTATATTATGTCCCGCGATATCTTATATTTTCATTATTTATGATTATCGAATAGGTTTTGCTTTAAGGATGATAACATGAAAATTTTGCAGGAAAAAGTTTTACTCCTAACGGGTTAATAATGTCCTCCCGACCATTTCGGCTACGGCGGCCAATCTCATTGAGACTAGCCATCTGCGCAGAAGATATTATAGTGCACATGTGTACGCGCAGACACAAGTGCACTCTCTATTCCTGTCACTCTCTTACTCCGGTGGGACGACTGCTCGACACGACCGGTGAGAGTTAAGGCGCAAGACGCAAGATGGCTTTACGTGCTCTTCGAGGCACGGGTATGAAACACCGCCAACTTCCCAACTCTGAGCTGTTACTAAGGTATACTAAACAGAAAGAATCAATAACTAAACTTGACCCGGCCCGGGACTCGAACACAGGACCTCCGGATGTACAGCAGTACATACATGCTAGCCACATCAATTTTTAGATTTACAAGATATATCATTTTTTTTCCGAAAAAAATATAATAGTATAAACGTCCATCTTTGTTCAGTACTTCTCAAGAAGATGCAAATATGTACAGACAGACGCTTGTTGGCGAGTTATGTTAATGTAAATATTGCTAAGTAATACTTCTAATCGTGTGGATTCAATTAGCGGGTTTTACTGTTTAAGCGTAAGCCCTTGAAGAAATGGAAAGGGCATAGTTTCATTCAACTCAATACTATTTATTATGATAATTTTCAAAATCTATTTGCTGGACTTTATTTTAGTAGTATTTATTATATGTATTGAATATGTATATACCACCGACTATGTAAATGTATATATATTATATAGTTTTACATTAATGTATGGAAGTCGGCCCGATTCGTTAACATTTACGATTACTTCTCCGCTCCTTTGGGACATCCTCAATAAACTATCTAATGCAAAAAAAGAATTTTTAAATAAACTTAAAATTTTATCTAAATACAAAATTTTATCCAAGTTGTTAGATCCGTTACACAAGTTACACAATCCAAGTTACACAAGATATACAAAAATTGGCCACATAATATTGTCTATACTTAATACATAATACTCGTATAATGAAACTCTGAGTGGAATCTGTACATTAAATATTTTTTGAAAAATCTTAATGAAATAGTCATTATATGCAGAGGCCGAATGTATCGTTTTTAGATTCTTGTCTGTCTGGGAACGCATCACGGGAAAACCACTGGACGGATTTTTATGAAATATCCGGGTCAACATATAGGATATTTTTTACTGCGGGAAAATATCTCATCTCTGAGAAATCTATACTAAATGGTA